AGGTGATCAAGCTGGGCGCATGTGTGAGGTGACCGCATTTCCTCGAATATAAATGACTAGTTCCTGTAAATAAACCGTGGATTGCTACCTGTTTGTCCTTCACCCCGCCAACTTCATTTAGTGCCCTGAGTGCGAATACACTCGTCAAAGGCTGCTCACCGAACCCCGTGGGACAGGCGCTTACACGTGAATCTGTCTGTATTACGTAACAACAACAATAATAATAATAATAATGATAATAATAATAATAATAATAATAATAATAATAATAATAATAATAATAATAATGATAATGATAACAACAACTACAGCAACAACAACAACAATAATAATAATGATAAGGATAACAGTAGTGATGATGATAATAATGATGATAATAATAATAATAACAAGAATAATGGAAATGATAATGGTGATAGTAGATAGCTGAAAAAGTGATATTGTAAACAACAGCAAACGTACAGAATAAACACGAAATTATGAACAGAGGTAAGCTCAATAAATACAAAAGAATAACAACAACTGAAATCAATTTATCAAATCACAAACTTACGGCTAAATATGGATATAAAATTTGTCTATAATGATAACTAATGCATACCAATAATACCTATTATTAATGATAACACAGCACTAATACTATTGTTAATAAAACACAATATGATAACTATAAACAATGATAAAAACTGTAATTGATAATAATCACACAATAATTATAACTGTAATATATAATAATACCATAATGATAATAACTATGAAAATATTAATAATAATAACAATTAAATAACTATAATCAGGAATGATAACACAATGATATAACATAATAACAGTAACACAGATAATGATGAACATATTCACATCATGATGATGAACAATATTCACATCATGATAATAACTGTAATCATAATGAAACACAATGATTAAAAGCAATAATCAATAATAACTATAACATTCATGATAACTCAATAATGATAACTGTGACACAATTATAACTATAAAATAAATAATAACTATTATAGAATATTAATGATAACAGAATAATGGTATCTATAACATTAATGATATAACACAATAATGAAAACTGTAGCAATAATTATAATATATTAATGATAAAAACCCAACAATAATTACAAAAACCCAACAATGATAACAAAAACACAATGATAACAAAAACAATAACACAATAATCAATAAAAAACAAAAGACGACCAATGTTTTTGTGGCATTTGTTTGCTTAATTTTCACGGGGTAGCAATTCAGTGATAAAAGATAAACAATATACAATTCCTCTATTGACAGTCAAAAAATGTGATTGCCGGACACTTGATCTAATAGAATTACATAAATAAATGTCTTGGATGTTGATTTACACGAAGATCAAGATGAATTAGACTTTTATTGAAAATATAGTTTAATGGAGACAGGTCTCAGATATCAGCCATTTGAAGTGAGTCTGATTTTATCTTCCGAAGATAAAATTGAAGAGAAGTCTTGTTTGGTGTGGATATCATAACCTTCTCTCCCTTTTCCTGAATTGCTATGAAATGATGGATGTCTGTCAAGGTGTTAGTGAGGTAGACACTTCAAAAGTGTGGAGGCAAGAGACGAATTAGAATTAGTTTTTAGAGATTGGAATGGATAGGAAAGTAGTCTGATAGTGTGAGGATTTAGGAATGCAGGGAGGGAGTGTTGTTTCTCTTCTGTGTGCCTTTGAGTTTGTGATATTCGTGTATGGTTGCCTAATGACCACACTGAGATATGGAAAATCCAAGGACAATGTCCAAAAGAAAGGGAAAACCTATGCTCAGTGATGTATGAAATAATCAGCATAGACAAAGAATGAATAAAAGATAAAGAACATTTGTTGTCATAAATGCTGGGAGGAGACAAGTTCATGGTAGACAGTGGGGGTGCGTGTGGGTAGAGCCTTCAACTCGGAAAATACAACGATAGGAAAGAGGGTACAGGGCAAAACCTGGTGTTAGGAATGGTTGCTGGCAGAAGTGGGAGGGACATAGTCACAGTGGGGTGCTGTTACTTTTTAAACCATTATTATGATAATTGGAAAGAAATAGCTGCATACTTACTGAATCAAATGATCTGGTGTTAAGTAAACTATATTTTTACACCTCCAGAGTCCAAAGGTGTTCTCTGAATAAGAGCTTGAAAATGTCTTTGAAAATGTTTTGTAAGGTTAAGATTAATCTATAACATGAGAATTGATGTGTACATTATTGCATTACAGTTGTATGATTGTAGTGCAAGTTAAATATATCCATGCATATGTTATATATGAAAGTTTAAGAAAAAACTTTCAGTAAATGCATTTTGGGTGCTTGGTCTGAGAACACCTTTGGAAATGCATGTGCACATTTATTGAATAGTCCATTCTTTAACTTTTTTTTAGAAGGCAGTAGAAGACACTGTAAGCCCTAGATGACAAACCATTATTACAATGAAAGAAACAATTGTGACAGAAAATGGATTGTGCCAGAATTGC